CTATTCCACGCCAACTACCACACCGCCCTCAACCTCTGCTGCGTTAAGCTTGCGTCACAAGACATCGGAACAGCGAATCCGTTTCGATGCTACCAAGAAGAAGAAAATCCCTTGGTGAGATGCAGACCGCAACCGCCGTTTCTAGCCTTCCAGGTGGCGCCCCACTATCATCGTACGTCCCGCGCCGTCACGAGGTTCGACTTGTCCGAACCTTCCGGCCGTCTTGTTGTCCTGTGTAACCTTGCCGCAGAGCCATCACGATGCGCATGGCCCGGCTTACATAGTAGGCACGCGGTTCTTGCAATCGCCGGCCGATCATGAAAACCTCGATGCTATGGTATTGCACTATACGCTCGACACACACTCATCCCCTCATTGCGGATTCGTCTGGTTTCTATGATATGCGTAGGCTCATCTCCACTTCCCTCCTACCCTGCCATGCTGTATCACGGCGTCAATCTACCGTCTTCGGATCCGAGGCTCCGGCCAAGGTCCGCCATCACTTCTGCCCCGGTTTATCATCTGGACAAATTATAACGCAGATCGATCTTTTAGCTTCCATCTCTCATCACTCTGGATCACCTTGTTTTCCTTTTCGAGCTTCTCCAGGATTTGTATGACCCCACCGCTCGCTGGGATGTGCAGCTCCTCAGGAACGTCGGCATAGATGACTTTGACAAGCTCCATGATCGTCCAGGCATAAGGGTCGCCCTCGATATCAGAGCCTTGCCTCGCCGTCCTCAGCGTACGAATGACCTGCTCCTCCCGGGCTCTCCTATGGTTGATGTAGTCTTGAATCTTGGACGGACCGTTGTCAATCACGGGCCCATGACCCGGATACGCCCTTCCCTTGAACAGGCCCTGCATCCTCTCGAGGCTGTTGAGGTATACGGTCAAGTCCTCGAACACGGCGGTACCCTGGCCCAAGACGTTATCTGCCGTGAACATGGCGTCCTCCTCCTCCAAAACGAAGGCCATGTGGTCGACGGTATGCCCCGGGGTGAAGACAGCGGTAAGGCTGACCCCGTCGACGGAAAACTTTTGGCCATCCGAGATGTCTGACTGGCCCTCCTCGGGTTGGTTCTTGAAGACCTCGGAGCTCGGGAACAGCTCTAATAGCTGCTGGATGCCGCCCGTATGATCATGATGCCAGTGAGTGATCAGTACCTTCTCAACTGTTGCCTTCTCCTGCTCGAGAGTCGATTTGACTGCGGCAATCCATGACGGCTTGCCCTCGCCCGTATCGATGAGTACACGGCGGCTGCCTGTGCCGACGAGATATGTGTTGGTGCCCTGCAGCGTAAACTTTCCCGGGTTCCCTCCCAGAATGCGAATGCAGGCTGGGCTGAGGCGCTCGACCTCGGGTAGTGACACTAGTTGCGAAGCCATTGTGTTGTTGTTCTTGGTACAATTTAGACGGGCGATAAGTCTCGTCCCGGGTGTAGTTGAGTAAATTGGCCGTCTTAGTCACAAACCAGCGTTGCGGTTACATGGGGAAAGCACGCTGGAAACAAGACCCCGCATGTTCCTTAAGGTAGGCGACAGAGAAATAGCCGCGACGTCACGCTGGACATTCGATCTTGGCGAATAGAATAAGTTGGTGCTACATGTACGTGAAGACGCAATGGAGGGGCAATGAAGATGCCGAGGTTCTAGAACAAAAGGCGCCGAAAGGCAGGGCACTTTGAGGTTCGAAAGGTCTCTTGTAAGCGGCTTACCTCAGCAATGCCTTCTGAATCTCCCGTCATCAGTGACAGTGACCTCACGGGGCACCTCAGTTGCGGCGGAAGGGACCCACTGAAAAGTGGCCCGAGGTCTTGTGGAAATTCAGGGGCGTAGGGGGACTTTCGGCAGGCGGATAAGCAAAAGTTGTTATCGATAAGAAACTGCCCGATCAGGTGCCGATAAGACTGGATTTACTGCCTGTTGGCCGCTGGCGCCACGGAATCTACCCGTCTGTGCACCCGGCGCCAGCTCCAACATTTGCAACTTCCAGGGATTGTTTGTAAGGCCCTTTTGGAACTGTGCCTTCCCGACGATCCTGAATCACTTTGCTCTTTGCGCATGAAATCCGTCGCAGTTTGGAGCCTCTAATTCCTTCTTACTTCTGCACCACCAACTTTGGCCTCTTCCGCGGCTGCGACTGGGGTTGGAAGCGACAGCCCGCGCGGACCCTCTCGATCTTTGGCTTGCGCCATCCACCAAAGCTCACCCACCCGCCCACTCTCTGGGGAGCTTCAATACGGCACCAAATCGCTCTTTCCGACAATCCAAAACACCCTCTACTTTGCTCAGCATCACTTGCTCAGCTTTTCTAGTCGGTAAATCTCGCTCTCACTTTGAATCCCCGTCTCTTGTATCCTAATTGACCCATTTTATTGCGACGAACTCGCGGCTAACTATGGATTTCTAGTAGTATTGTTGCGCTGGCCCGACTCCGGCCTTTACCGATCCACGACGCCTTCCTTGCCCATCGTCGAAATCACGAACTTATCTTGTCTTGGTTTTGGATCAATTTTTGCCTCGGCTTTTTTCTGCACAAGAGAGAAACCCACAGTATTTTGCCTCCCAGTTGCTTCAAGCCAAGAGCAAATAGACGAAAGAGCTGGACGACCGACCGATTAATTAAACAACACCATCCACAACACCCAACATGTCTGCTCGACCAACGACGCCGATGTCCCCAAAGACCGCCAAGGTCAAATCGCCCCTCCCTGGCACACCGGTCTTTGGCTGCGGTCAGTAGAACCCAATTGTTAATTGCTGCGACGGCAGGAACAGCCAAGAGTCAGGCTGACAGGATACAAACAGAACACATCCAGCGGCTTTTCACCCAGTCCACAGAGGGTATTACCCAGTGTGTCCACCACTACAAGATGATCCTCAAGAACATCTTTGAGCAGACGCCTGTTGTTCCTCAAACATTTAAGAACTCCGACGGCCAGATCATGACGTCTCTCACATCCAATTACCTCTGTCTACAGTGCTCCGCCATTGTCAATGAGGACGATCGTCTCAAGCACGGCACAAAGAAGCAGCATCGCTTCTGTATGTGGCTCATCACCAAAGCAAACGTGAATTTCCTAACAGACTATAGATGTCGACTCAAGGAGTGGTGCCCTCTATTGTCAGATATGTGATGATCTAGTCTGGGATCCCACTCTCGAGGAGCTTCGAGTTCGCAAGATGGGGACCGGAACTTTTTCCAGTAAGTTGTCTTCTCTCATGAGACGCACCACCTCGCACCCCAAACTACGACTCGCGTTGTTGCACCGCTATTCCTTGACACCCAGCTGCCTGGCCAACATGCTGATTAATCTTCCAGACCGCAAGAGAAAGCACGATGAGATGTTTTCAGATGGTGTAAAGGATAGTTCTGCAAGCAACCCAGGCTATATCTCCAACAACACCACCACTGCCTCTTGCAAGGCTAATGGTCTGCGCGGAATCTACAACGCCGGAGCAACATGCTACCAGAATGTGGTGCTGCAGAGCTTCCTCCACAACCCCCTCCTGCGCAACTTCTATCTCAGCGACGGCCATCAGAGTACCGACTGCCAGCTGACAAACTGCCTCAGCTGTGCCATGGACGACATGTTCCAGGACTTCTATGCTGTTGAGAATACTAATGGATTCACGGCGGCTAGTATTCTGTCTGGATTCTGGATCTCGGAGAAGAAGGCGTTTGAGAACCTCGTCACCACCAAGGAGCAAGATGCCCATGAGTTCTTCCAGTTCCTCGCCGAGGAGCTGCATGAGCGAAACGGAGATGGTAAGCGTCCTGAGACTGGAAGCGAGCACACATGTAACTGCATCATCCACCAAACATTCTACGGCAAGCTCCAGACTGGCACTACTTGCCAGAACTGCGGAGGTGTCACAAACGCGGTCCAATCATTTCTGGACCTCAGTCTTGGATTGGAGAACCTCTCTCATAAGCGAAAGAAGGGAGGCCAAAAGGTGCCCAGCTTGACTCTGCAGGAGTGTTTGGACGAGGAGTACGTCAAGTCAGACAAGTGTGAGTATCGGTGCCACAACTGCAGCTCGATGCAGCAGGCCAAGAGAGCCACCAGCATTAAGCGGCTGCCAAATGTGCTCGCGATACAGCTCAAGGTAATTCTAGTCGCACGATTATACTGTACCTGTCTTTAACTAATAACCGTTCCCAGCGATTCGAGTACAAGCAGGGTCGTCATGACCGCGCGTCAAAGATCGAGACGGTGGTTAACTTCCCCCTTCAGCTCAACATGCTGCCATATACTACCAGAGGTAGAGGCGCGGACTCGAAGGATGCCTTTGACCTTGGAAGATCTTGCACGTACGACCTCCTTAGCGTGGTGGTCCACGTTGGCGAGATCGACACGGGTTAGTTAACACATAATGAACCAATTTGAACACTGTTACTGACTGAGCACCTAGGCCACTATGTATCATACTGCCGAGTAGGCGACCAGTGGTTCAAGTTCAACGACCACAAGGTTGAAATGGCGTCAAAGTCAGACGTCATGAGCGCTCAACCCTATCTGCTCTTCTACATTATTCGTTCACTTTCGTAAACTCGTACCTCGAGAGGGAACGAAAGCGTCTCATGCCAAGAAGTGTAAAATAGTAATGCCACCAGGTCGAACGAGGTAAAACGGTGGCCCGCCGAAAGTATGGGAAAAGGGGCGCTTTGGAATGGCGAAGGGGTTGGGCGACGGAGGATCAAGCATCTTGTCGGCGTTGGAAATAAACGTGGGTAATGCATCATCTCGGGGCCTTTGGCAAAGGCGAACAACAAAATCCGCATTTTGGATGGCAATCCCAAGGAGCCATCATTGTATAGAACAGCGATCAAGCGTATGTACTTTCTATTGAAATCTTGCAAACCAGAGACATGTGCCAGTTCAGGCTCCCATCAGGACAAGTGGGCAGGTCTATCATCATGAGCTAGCCAACCAAGGTGAATGGAGGGCCGCGTCGCCAGGGATATACGCTTTCTAAGGATGTGTTTCCCCTTTTCAGCTCGCAGCCGCCTCCCGCCACGTCCAGTCTTTGCACTCAAAGTTTGCATAACACCAAAACTCGTTGCTAAGCCCTCGCTCGTGGGTCGGCTCATACGTGACGGTTCTGACACCGAGGGGCTTGTATACCTTATTCACCAACTCGGCCATGCGCTCACCAGTGCTGACGATGATGCGGCCCTTCTCGGCGGCGTCCGGCTTCATCATCCACCGGACCGACATGGCGGCTGGGAACCAAAAGACTTTAATCAGCATAGGAGCCTTCTTTCTGCTTGAAACCCCCGCAGGGAAGTTGACTGCGCGACTGGACTGGGGGGCTAGCTTACTCTTGGTCTGGCAGTCCTCACTGAGGAAGGGCGGGTCGACGACAACGCGGTCTACAGCACCCTTGAGTTCACCCGGGAGCTTGAAGGGCTGCGCAAAGTCGTAAAAGACGAATTCAGGGAACACGTTGAAGCGGTTGTCGTACTCCAGCAGGAAGACCTTTGGCCGGACCTCGCTCTCGTCTCGTGCAGTCTGCAGAGCAGTTAATTAAATCATCCAAGGATGCCGCAAATCGCCCTCATGGTGATGTTCTTACCAGGATATTATGCAGAGCAACAAACACACTAGGCGTAGACACAATCGCAATCGTAGTATCCGCATCAGCGCCCTCGAGGAGTTGCCTTGCCAAGAAACCCGCCGTCTCGTCAGAATACTAAAGGGAACAAAACAAAAACCGTCAGTGAGACTTTTGTTCCTCTTTTTTTCTCTCTCCAGAAAACCCCTGCAGGAGGCGCATTGATTTCATGTGTTTTGACGAAGGGTCCTCCTCACCCAAAACTGCGACTTGTTCCAGTCCTCCATGAACGCCGCCATGGATATCGGCGCCTTCTTGGCCGCTTTCGCCTCCGCTAGCTCCTGGAGCCTCTCAAACTCTTTCAGACGGGCATCCTCCTCGGCCTTGAATTCGGCCAGCGCCGCCAACGCGTGCGAGGAGAGGGCGCTTTCGGCGCAAAAGTTGTCAGTATGTTTGTGTCACTTGTCCGGTGGAGAACGGGGGTTCGAATTTTTCATTCGTACTGGAGCTGGCTTACAGAGGCTCGTCCTCGCTGTCTGAGATGCTCATCTCGACTGTGCTTTGACGGGAATTTTTGTGGTTTATTGGACAAAGGGAAAAAAAATTATAATTCTGCAGGTGAGCCAGCCGCGAACAAACAAAGTTTTGAGATAACGACTGCAGTGACCAAGAGATTTAGAAAGTAAGAGGGAGAATGAGTCGCAACTGAAAGGACTGCTAAGTCTGTGTCAAGGACCCAGTTTGAACTGTCAGAAACTACACTGTTTCAACGAATCAGCTTTGGCAATGCAGACATACCGACTAATGCCAACACCACGGAGCATAAACCACACTGGACAACGTCCGCACATTTGAGAGATGGTATTCAAACTGTACATGGATTCCTCGACTTTTGCAACTCTGTCTAGCTGACTACTTATACACACTCTAAACAACTTGCTTGCCTAGAATCAAATCCCTCCAACAAATGAAATCCAGGTTTACTCGTCAAGAACGTGCAGGTACTTGCGCTCCTCCTTCTTCTCCTTCTCTGTTGCAGGGGGCAGGTCGTAGAAGTTGGCACTGCGGAAACCTTGCTATACGGAAGTCAACACATGCTACTTTGATAGACAAAATCACGGGCGTCCTTACCAGGTAGTGGTATGTGAACTTGCTGATGTCACCGGGCTCGATGCCGAGGTCCTTGAATGTCTTGGCCGTCTCATCAATCTCCTGGTCAATGAATTCACGCTCAACCTCGTCGGCAGACATGGTGTGCCACCAGAGGTACTTGTTCAGGAGACCGGCGATAGGCTTGAGGACAGCCTTGGGGAGGTTGATGTGGCGGCGCTTCTTGAAAATTTCACGGTCGGCAAACTCGGCAATTTCGGCCATCGAGTACTCCTTGGGACCGTAAAGCTCGTAGGTCTGACCTGCTGTGCTGTCGTCGTAGAGCATGACCTCAAGAGCCTGGCCAACATCGATGGACTGCAACTGTTAGGTCCCATGCAGAGTAGGTATCGTTACGGGGAGCTTACGTGGACGGGCCTGAATCTCTCTTGCATGTTGTTGGCAGTGAAGAGGTTCATAACGTTGGCGAGCTTCAAGAGGAGGTTGTCTTCGAAACCGAAGACGGGCGCCGGCCTCACGATGGTGGTCTCGGGGTAGATGCTGCGAGCGACTTGCTCGCCACGGGCCTTGGTGCGGAAGAACTCGGATGTCGACTCGAGGTTGGCGTTGTAACTGGAGACGTGGATAAAGCGATCGACATCGTACTTGGCAACAGCCTCAGCTATCCGTTCGGTTCCCTCGACATGGACGTCCTCGAGGGAGTAGTTCCTAGGCGTTTTCTTAGCCATCGATCTTCAAGTGCCCCTCGCTTCAGAAACCTACTTGGTGGGGTAGTCGCGGCCGACCAGGTTGTAGACAACGTCGGAATGTCTGACGCTCTCTTCGATCGATTGGGTGTTGTAGAGGTCGTATTCCTATAGCCATTCCATTAGTCCTTGCTGGACTTCAATCCACCGCATCGTGAGGGAGACCATACAAGGAAGACGACACGGCCAAGGTCACCGGAGACCTTCAAATGGCGCTTGGCCATCTCCTCACGGAAAGGGACGACAACGGTGCATCCTTGACGAGCTATTGAACTCGATCAGTATTGCAGCAACGATTCGTCGTATGTGTATGTTCGTACCGAGCCTGTTCACGATGTACCGTCCGACCTGTCCCGTTGCGCCGAAAACCGTCGCAGTGTGTCCTGTATTTCGACCTTAGACAAACGTTCCGTAATCAATTATTTCGTTCGTTTCATACCACCAAGAGAGTGTCTGCATTCAGAATCGAGTCAGAAATGGCCCATAGAAATGCAATTGATCGGTATGCCTACCTTCCGCCCTGGGTTCGCAGGATGGGTTTGCCGGTACGGGTGATGGCAACATCGGAGATGGGCCTGCTTCTCAAGGCATTGTGCGCGACCTTCTGGGTCGACCGCACGGCGGTTTGAAGGGAGGCCATTTTCGGATATCGAGGCTGCAACAAATAAGTGCGGTGGCCCCTCAATTGACTCGCAACTGAACGCTTCTTGACCGGCCGAAAGCTCCAAAGTCGCGAGCTTCATCCAGAATCCCGGACGGAAGGTGAGCGGGTCACGTGGAAGCAGGTGCACGGCCCATTTCATGGTCATAGGATCGGAAAAACAACCATTGGTTATCCTATCCGGAAGTGGGCCCTATCCAGAAGCATCCGGATCAGTGCTGCGCTACGTACCTCCCTACCTTAGCTGACTGACCAGGCTGCTAGCTAGCCGCGTTATGTGCATCGCCCCTCCGGAGCTGCTACTGGCAACTGCTGCTGCTTGCATTCATCAACACCATTCACACAACTCCCAGACGAACTCCCCGGCATTTTCCACGACGAAATTCCGCCCTCGAGCCTCAATCCCTCTGCCTCTGAAGCTGCTATCTGAGGAAAGAACTGTCACCTGGTCTTTCTTTAACGATACTGTCGTCATCCTCAACCCCTCCGAAGCTCACACACCTACCGACCGAGACCTCCCACCAAGATGAGCGTCGACGCAATTCCCGACTTCCTGGCGGAGCAGCGCGACGAGGCCCCCGAGGAACTCCAGCACCTTGTTCTGGAGTTTGAGAACTACTGGGAGAGGAAACTCTGGCACCAGCTTACCGATGCCCTCGGCCAGTTCTTCAGTCACCCGGGCAGCAAGCCCCAGCGACTCTCCTTCTACAAGGTCTTCATTCTCAAGTTTGCGGATAAAATCAACCAGCTTAAGCTTGTGGACCTGGCATTGAAGGCTGCTACCGAATGCTCTGGTAAGACATAGTCGCACAGGAGCGAGGAGAGGACATGGAACTGACGAGGCCTTGATAGATGATGAGGAGCGCCTCACATTCCTCCAAGGAGTCGCGAAGAAGGTGGACAACGAGAACTCACAGGATGCCCTTGTATACGCTTCCGTCGCAGTGGCCAGAGTAAAGTTGGATTTGGAGGATATGGATGGCGCCCGCAAGGACCTCGACACAGCCGAGAGAATACTGGACAGCTTCGACTCCGTTGAGACGATTGTCCACGCAGCGTTCTATGATGCGAATGCCAACTACTACCAGGTAAGCTATCTGTCCACCTTCCCCGGGCAGGTACAGGACATTTACTGACATGGTTTCCAAATCCAGCGCAAGATGGAGTTCGCAGCATACTACCGCAACGCCCTTCTCTACCTCGCCTGTATCGACATCAACTCCCTCACACCCCAGGAGCGACACCGGAGAGCGCTGCACCTCAGCATCGCCGCATTAGTCTCTGACACCATCTACAACTTTGGTGAGCTGCTGTTGCACCCCGTCCTCGACGCCCTCAAGGGCACACAGGACGAGTGGTTCCGAGACCTCCTTTTCGCCTTCAACCGCGGCGACCTTCAGGGCTTCGAAGCTCTTTCGGCTCGCATGCGAGCAAAGCCGTTGCTCGCCGAGAACGCCGGCCACCTCCGCCAGAAGATCTACCTCGCGTCCCTTACTGAGGCCGTTTTCCGCCGGCCGCCCCACGACCGCGCCATGTCCTTCGCCGATATCGCTCAGGAGACTAAGGTTCGCCCCAACGAAATCGAGCACCTCATCATGAAGGCCCTCAGCCTGGGTCTGCTGCGCGGCAACATTGACCAGGTCGACGAGGTGGCGCACATCACTTGGGTCCAGCCCAAGGTGCTTGACATGAAGCAGATTGGCAACATGCGCCAGCGGCTGCTCGACTGGGACTCGCAAGTTAACCAGCTTGGCAACTGGATCGAGACCGCCGGTGGCGACGTTTGGGCAGCTTAGTGGACAGCAGAGGATACCAGGTTTATGGGCGGAAAGGAAAAATTATGCCTGTAATAAAGGTCTACGGTGGCAGGGGGGAGACCAATGTACACCACTAGACTTAGAAGAGGAATGGAAATCGGCCTCCAAAAAAGGGCCGTTATGATTTTGATGACAATGCTACTGCCCCTTTTCCCAATGCACTAATTCTAAAAGCTCAAAACGTTTTGGCAATTGTCATTCCCTAAACTCCGCCAGGAATAATGCTGTCATACAGACTACGTGATCAACCCTCTTAGTACCTTGCATCATGCACTTTTTGACTTGGCTGTAGGCTGTCCGAGCACGATGACGGATCCCATGAGCCACGCAGGCCACCACACCCCCCAAATAATGACAGGCGTATACATGCCCCAGACATCCCAACCGAAAGCTGCTTCCTTCAGGACCTCGCCGATGCTGACATCAAAGTACGACGAGACAGAGTACAGCGCCGCCGTCGGGGAGGCGAGTTGGAGAAAAGCGGCGCAGGCCCAGCGGACGGCGGCGTGGTTTGGCCACGGCCGCATGAATGACAGTGGGCTGGCCATGACACCAACCAGGAAGGCGAGAGAGAAGTTGAGGGTCGCCAGAGCCGAGAGGAACATGCCGAGCAGGAGGAGGGAGAAGGACTTGATCAGCTGGTATTGCTGAACCGTAGGGTTGTACGTGGATTTAAGGAGCGAGGAGATGAAAAAGGGCAGGGCACAGTTGGCGAGGGCGAAGGCTGTGTATGCGCCAGCTAGCATCTGTAGGATTGGAGAGTGAGCATTTGTATCTTGAATGGGCTGAGAACGGGAAGGAGAGCTTACGTTTGCAGGCATATGATTGAAGATGTATAACGGCACGACACCAAGAAATTGGCAGACAGCCACGAGACCCAGGGGAAGAAACAGATCGCGTTCTACGGCGGGCGCAGAAGGTGACGACGCAGTTGTTCCCTTTGCAGTTTCAAGTATCTCCTGAGACGCAGTGCCCTCACTCTCGGATTTCAACCCCACGCTGGGCGCAGATGACGGCTGGTCCTGATGACCACTCTTCACCCAGAGGGAAATTGCGGTTATGGTGAAGCTGGCGGCCAGGATCATGGCACTTGGTAGGTACGTGCCAATGCTCACGAACCTCTCCTTCTGCATGAGCAGGTAGAAGAAGAAGCTCTGGTGGAGGTGCTCAAGCAGGTTGTTCAAGCTGCGGAAAGTTCCTTCGACAAGGCGGCCCATTCCCATCTCATCGTGCCATCCTTCGCCGAATGGTTGCAAAGTCACGGCGTCTACGTGGTAGGGGATGAAGCTGCTATGCGGGCCAGAGGCGTGGCCGAGCCCCTGGTTCAACATGCCGCGGAGCATCGTGAGGAGTCGGTCCCGGTACTTGTCGGAGTGTGACCACATCTCCTGAATGGCAGTGCCCATGCCCATCTGTCCACCCGCGATATTTACGACGGAGTTGATGAGGTCCAGGTTGGGGAGCTGGCCGTTGATGCCGTCATAGATGATATGGATGGACTCGAAACGGTGTTCTTGTGGGTAGTCGATTGCGATGGCACCCTGCAAAGCGCCAGACTTGAGTGGAAGGGAGTTCACACGGGAGGAGTCGTGCGAGTCGTGATATGCGTCGACCCATGCCTGAGTGCCCGTCCTACTGTCTGGAGGAATGACGAGGATGATATCCTTGGACCAGAGTGACCACCGCTTAAAGTACCTCGCCAGTGTCAGCGCCAGTGGAAGGCCATTCTGATTAAACTTGTCGTCGACCGTCTTCCAGGCCGCGATGAGCACAATAGCCTCCGTGGCATCACCGCGAGGAGCTTGGAGAATGGCGTAGATGTTCTCTCCGGTGTATACATCGCCAGCGGATTCGTACGTGTAGTTTTGGCGGCCGACCTTCAAGCCAACGCTCTTGAGGATGCCCTCAAGCTTGTCATTGATTCTGTCATGCTCCAGTGGTTAGCCCAAGCCATAACACAGCCGCGAGGCCAGAGTTGTGGTATGCCGTACTCATAATTGGACTTATCCCTGACCGAGTTGACCTCATGCTTGTACGCCCTCAGCACATGCTGATCACTTCCACCAAAATACGTGTGCACTTGACCCGGAAGCAGTGCATTCTCGGAAATGTAAGTTCGTCGGGAATAATCGTTTAGAGGCAAGAGAAACAGCCATGCGATTCCGCCCAGAATGCATGCGAGCGAGATGTAGGGCGGGAGCTTGAGGATGCGCGGATCGCGACGTAACGACAGTGCCGAAGCTGGATAGATGCGATGTCAAGTCAGCTACAACAGGGGTAAGAGTAGAGGGGGATCAAGGGGTCCATTGGTCATTCTCACATATTAGTCGCGACATGACGAAGGCTGTTATTCTGCAGCTCCCGGGAGCTGCGCAATCGCACAGTTAGGTCGTCTTTGCTGTGCGGTGACTTTCCAAAAGGACAACCATCATCTTTAAAGATGGGTTGTAAGGGCGTCCCGAGGATGGAGGCGGAGCACTGTTGGAGGTACAAGTGACAGGTGCCCATATATTCATTTATCCGGGCGCGTCCCCTCGCGTTCCATTCCCGACTTTAGCTCAAGCTTCGGCCGACTCTATCCATCAGGTACCTAGACTTTTTAGTGGATCCGGGAGCACGGAGGCACTAATCCCCGTCGTTTGTGAGCGGTGAAGCAACTTTTTTGCGGCTCACCACCAAAATTCTGCCCCGCCATTGCCATCCCAAGTATCAATTTTGGAATTCTGCCACCCTCTTTCCAATTGAAACCCGACGCAACTGCGATACCTCACAGACCTCAGTTGTTTACTATCGTCGTACTCGGCGAACCAGCAGAATGGGCGTCACCAACAAGAAGACTTTGACCAAGACGCGAAGGAAGACGAGGTAAGGGTTTTCACAGGAGCAAACATAAAAAAACTAGAAATCGTCTTTTGGTTCCTAACGAAGCATACTTTAGGGATGTCGATCAAATCAAGGCCGATTTGCGCTCGCCGCGCCACCTCCAACGTTTCACAGGATCAAAAGCAAAGGAGGACCTTCCGGGATTGGGTCAGCATTATTGCATCGAATGCGCCAAATGGTTCGAGACCGAGGTCAGCCTTGTGGGCCACCGTAGAGGAAAGCCTCACAAGCGCAGGTTGGTCTTCTCCCTCTACAGATCTACGCCTCCTGTTGGCCTATGTATGCTCTCGTCTGTTGCCGTCCCGCTAATCTAGACATTTCTAGGGTCAAGCAGCTGAAGGAGGAACCGTATACCCAGAAAGAGGCAGAGGCCGTGGTTGGCATTCGTACCGACGACAAAGGTCCCAACAAGGGAGGTCCCGAGAAGGCCCTCGATCAGGAGATCGAGATGGAGACCTGAGATGCGCTTGCCTCTTTTCCACAAGTCTACCGTGGCTCAAGAGTAGACGCTAGATGATACCCTTTCACGACATAATGCAATGGACTTTCCATCACCCCTTTCTCATTACTGCACCCTGAAGGGCCGTGGTCGGGAAGTTGAGATCCAGCCCATGATGGCCCTGGGCACAAGGCAAGCAAGCGGCGGCGATGTTGCCAGCAGTAAAGCTCCACAGCGGATATCTGTTGAAGAACTTTCACCGGATGCCACGACCGCGTGGCCTGACGATCCCGGTACCCCGACCTCTCGTTGTCTCGGAGCCTCCGCGGCCTCCCGCACGACCACGCGTTGTGCCTCCACGTGTGGAAGGTGCCGGCACGCGGGAACCTCTGGTAGCTGTGCTGGAGGTCTTGTATTTCGGGGTTGGCTTGGAGGAAGCGGGTGGGTTTTCGACGAACGAAACGTCAGTGGTCCTGTAAGCGATTAGCAGGATGCCTGCAAAGCTTCGAACCGGGAAATATAGGGCATGGATCGGTACATAAAAGTCGTCTCGCCGTCAAAATCATTGCTAGGCTTTTCAAGCGCGCGAGGAATGCCTGTGAATGTGCATGTCAGAAATACCGCCAAGGCTGCACCAGAGATTTGGTTGGGGCTCGTACCTGATCCTGCGGCTGCGTTCATCTCTTCTTGCAGCTTCGCCCTTTTGAAGGACTCGGGAACAGGGCCCTAGAGAGGAGAAAGAGCAAAGGTCAGCATTGGCTAATGTGTCGAAAGATAGCTGATGGAATAATCGCACCTCTTGGAAATCGACGCAAAAGGCATTCATGTTCAGGCCATACATGAAACTCGCAAAAGACTCGCTGAAGCGCGCCAGACTCTCATGCATCAGCTGGAAGTGCATCATATTGGCCTCGAGGTCGGCCATGGCGTCCGAGAGCTCAGCAAAGGCGGGCTCAAAGGTATTGAGGGGAAACGACTCGCCGCCGCCATGGACGCTATCTCTGGCGGACTCGCGAAAGGAGGATCGCGAAGAAGGGCGTAGAGGCGTGGTTGGGCGCATGGGGGTTGTCGGACGGGAGTTGCGCGTGCGCGAGGCCGATCGCTTCTCGTGGGCGTCGTAGTCTGCCATGATGAGCAAGAGGATTGAGAGGTACTATATGCAATTCTTTGCGTTGGGAACTCGGCGAGAGAGACGTCGTCAAATGTTTCGGTGTCGGTGGCAGCGGTCGGTGTAACGCGGGGTGTCGAAGTAGTTGTGGGGTGAGCTGTGGTTGCTGGTTGATGGAAGTTCAAGTGAAAGTCAACATCAACAAACCTGACGGCTTTGGTGGCCCGACGTCAGGTACAAGGCACCCAGGCTGGAGTTCTGGACTGCCTATCGTTTTTTCTTTTTTTTCCTGGCGGGGTTCAATCTTGCCAGGACATGGCCCCGCACCCGGCGCAAACCAAAACTGCAGCTCAGCACGTGTAGGTACTTCAAAATCGCCCGTCATCTCTAAAAGACCCCGGCTGACAGGCACCTTAGGTGGTTATCAGGCGAGATGACGCAAATTTGGGTTTCCTCAGGCCCATCCCAGGTAAGGTATTGAGACTTGGGCAGACAGGACTCAAGTTCCGTTCCACGTTCAGCTAAGGTATCGAGCGCGTCTCGCGTGGCTCGGCCCCGAAGTTCCATTAAGGTAAGGTACGGGTACCTCACCTCGCGTTCGCTCAACCAGGGAGGAGGCACGCACAGGTAAGGTATCTGGCGTCCCTAGGTACCTCATCGCATCCGACGGGAGGTCGCGTGGCCATTTCTGATGATTTTGGTGGACCTGCTATAATGAGGAAGGTACGGATACCCCATCCATACCTAAGGTAGGTAGGTACTCGCACTCGCACTTCCCGCGACCCTGAGGCATCCCACGGATTCGAATACGACGTATTTTATTGTGCTCGTTTACGATTTACGGTTTACCAAACCTCAGCGTTTATGTTCACCATTTTGCGAACCTGAACGACCATAATCAATCACCACGTCCCCTTTCACTGCAAAAGGTTGCGCGCAGCTATTCACCCCCCCCCCCCCCGGCTCCCAACGACATCCCACCTTAACCTACCCATACCTTATCCCTCTGGTCTCCTTGCTGTGTCCGCAACGCAGTCCCTCTCCCACCACACCTCAGCACCACAACAGGTAGCTCGCCAACTCCAAGGTACATTGGGCAAATCCACAGCTGACACCCAATTACTACAATAAAAGACACCAACTAAGGGCACCTAAGGTCCAACCGTACTCTTGGATGCTGTGCCAGTCCGGAACGCTCGGAGATTGAGCTACGTCTCGTTCACCAAGTTAGCAACTCAGTGGAGTTTGAACAGCCTCCTAGGGGTACGAAGTACAGCGCTCGACCCTCGCAACATTGCGCTTATTGTCGCTGAGGTGTCGTCGTCCTTCTCCTCCTCCTCCCCCTTGTCCGCCGCGTCTAAGCCTCCCTCAATCCCCATCGCCCCCGACTTTCCTCTTTGCCCAGAGCTCCGTCCGCAACGCTGCCCCTCCGTCGCACATTCACTGCCCACGTAATAGACCCGGTCTCACTGCGTTATCCATCAACTTCTCTACAAACACCTTGCTTCAACCGTTGTCTCGACTTTGCTCTTCTCGTCTCTCTGCATTGTCACTCCTTGGCCGCCAACCGCATAGACGCCAGTCCGTAAACTCTCCATCAGCCGCGTAACCAAAGTAGGTACCTACCTACCTACCCTAGTCTTTCCCCAATCCTTACAACCCCTCCATACCTTTACTCCCCTCCGGCGCATGTCAGCCACCCAGTCTGTCCCTCCCTCCCGTTACTTCAACCTCCGGCGCAAGCCATATTCCGGCCATCCGCGCATCACCCGGCTTGATTCTTTTCACCTTGCCAAATTGTTTCTTTAACCCGCCGCCGTTTGCCAACGCACCACACTTTGGGATGACCCTGCTGACCCCGTCTCAGCACCACCAATATAGTCCGAAGCATTGACTGACGTCGTCGACTGATGCCGGTCAGTTTGAAACCACAAACCTCGGCTTTGCCTCGAATTTTCACGTTCCCACAAAGCTCCCTCCAGCACTCTTCGGGGACTCGCCTTGCACAATTGCCATTGACTTCGCGATCTGGACGGCAGCTCCTGGTCAGACCCTGTATTCGGAGATTCAACTGTCCCTCCAAGCCCTCAAAGTACAGACGAATCCAACCACTCGGATCACCACAGTCACCGGGCCCCCCCAACCTCAAGAACTTTCGTGTCCTTCTCGAGTCACGAGTTGACATCGTCCTCTGTTCAGTCGCCGTTGCTCTTGCGTGCGCATACGGCCTGTTTTATCAGCAAACCACCGGAGCCACATCTGACCCTCAACAAGACACCGAAACCGCAGAACCTCACGCATCAGACATCATGGCGACCGAAATTCCCCCTGGGAGACCGGGCAACCTCACGCCGGAGCAGGAGGAAAAGTTGCGCCAATTGTGGAATCTCATTCTGTCCTTGGGAGAGGAGACCAGCACCGCCGCCGCAGACAGCGCATCTGCTAGCATAGCACCGAGCGAAACGTCGGCTGCCGGAAAAGGCGACAAGCCCAAGAAGAAGCGCACTTCATTGTTCAGCCGCAAGGACAAGAAAGAGGGCGCCGCGACATCGACAGCCGTTCCAGCTGGCATCAAGGAGGACGGCGAGGACAAGTACGGTCAAACTCAACAGTTCAAAGAGGCTTTGGCCAACCAGAGCCCCGAAGCTTTGCGCGCCACGATATGGTCCATGGTCAAGCATGACCATCCCGATGCTCTTGCCCTGCGATTCCTGAGAGCGCGGAAGTGGGACGTGGAGAAGGCCTTCGTCATGATGATCTCCACAATGCACTGGAGATTGACGGAGATGAAGGTTGACGACGAAATCATGAAGAGTGGTGAGGCTGGTGCGCTGGAAGCTGCACAAAATTCCGATCCCAAGATCAAGCAGTTGGGAGAGGACTTCATGACCCAGGCTCGGTCAGGCAAGACTTTTATCCATGGCCTCGACAAGGGAGGACGCCCGATCTGCCAGGTCAGGGTGCGCATGCATAGACAGGGGGAGCAATGCGAGGAGAGTCTCGAGAAGTATACTGTCTTCTTGATTGAGACAGCTCGTATGGTTCTGGCTCCTCCCGTGGATACTGCTGTAAGTTTACTCGTGTTTTTTTGGCAGTAAAACTTGTGCTAATCGGACAAAGACAATCGTTTTCGATATGACTGGCTTTTCGCTGGCAAACATGGTTAGTCACCCCTGTAAAATGCGACGAGATGGAATATCTTCTGACCTTCGCTCCAGGATTACACCCCTGTGAAGTTCATGATCAAGTGCTTCGAGGCAAACTACCCCGAATCTCTCGGTGCCGTTCTAGTGCACAAGGCCCCTTGGGTCTTCCAAGGTTTGATTATTCCATGATTGATCTTGACTGATTACAACTAAACGGTTATCAGGTATCTGGAAGATTATCAAGGGTTGGCTGGACCCGGTCGTAGCTGCCAAGGTTCACTTCACCAACAATGTCAAGGAAATGTCAGAGTTCATCGAGCCAAGCCACATCCTCAAAGAGCTCGACGGCCAGGAGGACTGGGACTACAAGTACCTGGAGCCAGTCGCTGGAGAGAATGAGAAGATGAAGGATACGACAACAAGAGACGCGCTGCTTTCTGGAAGGGAAGAACTGGTCCACGAGTACGAGGAGACAACCCTTCAGTGGATCAAAGAGGCCGGAACAGACAAGGAGGCGGCCATCAAGGCACAGCGCGAGGACCTTGCTCGCAAACTCAGGGATGACTACTGGAAGCTTGACCCTTACCTCCGAGCAAAGTGCGTCCTGGATCGGACAGGCGTTATCCAGGATGGCGGCAAGATCGACATGTACTCAAAGGGCGCACCTGCTCCCGTCGCCGCAGCTCCTACGCCGGCAGTCGCACCCGCACCAACCAACGGAGCCCCCGCGGTTGAGACATCGGCCGATGATGTAGACTAGAGACCGGCACAACCGGCATTAGAATCACGAAGGACGTACACGCAGGTTATGAGAATTGGCTGGGGGGGAATAAAGGAGGTTGAAAGAGCCAGGGACATTGAATTACGGGGAACTGAGATCCCTGCTACTGAGTTAAGGGCGGGGGTGTTGAAAATACCACAACTGGCTTCTCTACATCTTGGACTTGATATCCTCAAAGAGGGCCTTGAGCTTGTCCATATCGGTCGCCTGCTGGGGCCATCCGACGCCGAGACCCTCAGTCTCATTTGGCTTGGGGATCTCCAATGGGTGTCAGCACGAGAATATGAGGCGCTGGTGAGAAGTGTTACCATGTGGAAGTGAACCTATGATAATTAGCTACGATGAATGGCAAGGCAGATGAGTAAAGGGGGAACACTCACGTGGTCGACCATTTGGTGAGCGATGCGGCCGTTGTTCTGGAGGACGTTGTAATCTGTAGCTCCAGTTGCGGCGACGAGCTTCTTCACAACAGGCTGTAATAACGTAGGTGTCAGATCGAACGCGCAAGGGGGCGCGAGAGAAGCTGGGGGAAGACTTACGAGAAGTTCGCTGAGCTGATCGTCGGGGATATCAGCCAACTTAGCGCCGTGGTGCTTGGGGATGACGAGCTGCGGAGACAATGTAAGTGTATAATCACAGGCTGCACAGGACATGAGTGAGTTCTTACAGCATGGCCGCGGCTGAGGGGGTTGATATCGAGGAAGGCGAGTGTCTTTTCGCTCTCAAAGAGCTTAAAACAGGGGATCTCGCCTGGAGGAGGGGAGAAATGTCAGTTGATTCTGCGGTAGCGGGGGTTCGGAGATGTCTTGGGGTTGGAATCAAATGAGGAGCGGGAATGGGGGGAGGAGAATGACAAACCCTTGATGATCTTGCAAAAGATGCACGAAGCCAGGCTGGATGTCATGATGATGAGATGATGGGTCTTGCTTTTGGATTCTTGAGTTGAAAGAGTTTAGACACAGCTGAAGAATTGCCGTATCAATTACAAGTGGGAAAGGAGAGTGAGGATGATGAAGTTGAGCAAAGGGCAGGACGGGATTGAAGAGATGCGGAGGGTATATGCAGTGAGGTGGGCGGGGATACGGAAGCTGAGGAAGCTTGTGTGGGGTTCGGGGATTACTGCGACCGGGAGAGTTTGGAGGTACTTGGGGAGCAAATTGCCTCGAAAATATCGGAGTGGGACCTCCTATCGAACTCACCTCTTGCCTTTTACCAGATGTGACCGTTGGATGGCCCAACAGACTCCATTCCACCAATCTTTGGCACACCCTCATCTGGAGTACCCAGGTTCGAAATTTTGTTTTTTGAGTTTTGTATGTCTTGCTCCATCGAATCCATCTGTCGCTTTCTCTCTGCGACGGATTTTGCAATTTGCAGTGCCTCTTTCGTGATGCAGTACCTGAGTGGATTGCGCATCGGGTTCCTGCGCACCGCGCGCGGAATTGAGGATGAGAGGACAGGCGCCCGACCAACACAGCGAGCGCAGCGCACGGCGCGGAGTTGCAGAAGGAGCTGCTGGGCTGCTGCACGGGTGACCTACCACGCCTACCTGGCGCGTCTGGAGACCTGATCCCTAGCACCATCGTCGTCATACCCCTCCTTCTGCTGCGCAACGCCAGGTCCTTTTTTTTTCCTACCCAAGCCGACGTAACCCCACCTTGGAGTGACTGAACAGCCCTTGGCCGACTCCTCTGCAAGCAAGGCAGCCAGCCAGCCAAACGTGAGGCGGGCAATCAGACCAGAAAAGGGTTTATTCTTCCTAGAGTGACATTCTTCTGAACATATGCCGTAAACTCTTTTTTGTGATACCCCATACCGTCCTCGTCCTGATTGATTCCCGCCTTACAAGCTCCATCAGGCTACATACTATCCATCTATACCTCAAGCATATCGACCGCACATCTCGCGCCAGCCCGTATATCTCTACAAAAGCACCAACGAAGAGGCCTCATTTACGAGAGGAGGGCAGGTCATTCCTATCGAAGCAGCCATCTACAAAAGCACCCATCGCCCAAAGCGAACACCATGACCCGATACAAAAGCACCCCTCTCTACGGCGGCGCTCTAGTCAGCGATTTGCCCGACAAGTTCGCCGACGTCAGGTTGGTTCTCTCTCTGTCCCTTTCTCACTTCCCTCGCCTTCCTCTTGTCGCTCCCGCCCAGGCTCCCAGTCACCCGACATCCTCTACATGTGTACAATAGACTGACAACCCTTTCCAACACCAGCAAACTCCGCGAGGTACCCGACAACCAAGAAGTCTGGATCGACTCGGACGGCTTCACGAGCATCATCTTCGACATCACGGAGCGCGTCGGCCCCGCGGGCTCGAGTCCCGAAATCGACGGCCGCGCCCTGACGACGCACCTCGAGGAGCTCGTCGGCGAGGACGTCGACACCGTCAAGGTCTGGAACACGACCGAGACCTCCTTTTCGCGCCTCAGCTCAGACATCCCCGCCTATACCCTCATCGCGACGCAGACCCCGCACGCGTCAAAGTCTTCCCGTTCGTCGTCCTCGTCGGCGCCCGACTTTACGGCCATCATTCTTACGCTTGTCCGTCTTGAGAAGGAGTCGACGGATATTTTGGTCACGATTAACGTGCCGCATATCAAGGGCGAGTACGACGAGGCCGATGTCGATTTGGAGCTCGGTAAGCAGGGAAAGCTGATTGGAGATGCCGTCGAGTATGCGGCGCGTATTTGGGAGACGTTCAAGGTGAAGGACTGGACTTTGTTCCAGGAGGTTTGAGAGGCAAAAAGAGAGAGAGAGTGTGTGTGTGTGTTTGGGAAAGGGGTTCGATGAGAGAAGATGGAAGACGGAATATGGATATCCCCACGGTGGAAGACGGATGGAAGATGTGAATGATGAGGAGATGCACACCGCATGAAAAGCAGTTGACAGGTTTGGGTGTTTCCCTTCCACCGCCGGGAGACGTCGACACGGCAAGAAGGACAAGCGGCGAAGTTTGATGATGATGCGAGATGAAAGCCACGCCATCTCTTAGGTTCTTTAGGTTTCACTGGTTGAATTGTTCTATGCTGAAAATATGATATCAAGAAAACAAAGTGAGGTTGATGATTGTCTATATCCAAGTACTCTCCCTATATTTATGATCTTTTGAATCATTGTTTCTGTGGATACGGAGAACTATTTGACACTGGGGGAATTATTCGACGACGAACGATTGCTAAGCTACATGTGTACATAATACGACAACCGGCCGGGCGAGCCACGAGTATCCTACTGGCCCTCGGTATATCGACGGAGCTACGCGAACACAATGAGTCCAACAGTGATCACCATTTCGCGCAAGAAACAGAGGAGGCAGTAACTCACTTCCCACATACTAACTAATAGTTGTCAAGCGCATCTCAAATAATTGGTCCCGCCTACGTCAGTTGACAAGGGCTTTCCTAGTCCAACTTTCGTGTTGTATCTTGTTGAACAAGAGGGAAAATAATGGCGTCGTCTTGTACACCTTGTTTGTTCACCAAATATTGACCTCTACATCATGATTCCGACTAGAACATGCGGCAACTCTCGTGCCTGTGGTGGAACGTCAACCTTTCCCAATGCCCGTGAAAGCTTCCTCGGTCCCGGCGCGTGATGCCAATTTGTCTAGGGGATGAAAAAGGCTCTGCAGCACCTACCACATTCCTCCTCAGATGGGGTTTCAACTGAAAAAACCTGAAGCTTTGCTTGACCAGCAGAATCGATAGTCCACCCAAGCCCTGAATAAACAGACCCCGTGGTGAGAACCTCGACTTGCTGTTTGGAGTTAGCAAAAGTCGATTAGGAAAAGTTCAGATCAATCAACGATATCATTATCGTTGCTCCAGTATCATCATAGTGTTCTCGTGTGTGTAGACAGAGCAACCTGAGAGGTGGTGATTGAGTTTACGGCCGTCTACATTCGACAAAGGGCATATGGTTGTCCTGCTTGTGATGATAAAAGGTACGTAGTGGACAACCAGGAAATCAAGTACTTGTCAACAAATAGGTGTATTTCCAAACTATAGCCTTTTAGTTTTCCATTTTCCGGTTACACGCGCTGCTCATTAAATCTTTCCGGCACGCTCCTTGAGGCTCTTCCCAATCTCCGTGTAATTCCAGCATCTGACCAATGGGAGTATAAGCACTCTATTGGATTGAAACAGAGGCTATGGATTCTTCCCTCCTCGGCAGTGATGTGATTACTGGCGACCGCGAAGGCTGTACGTGAACGAATGTTTGGGCGTCAGCTACGTGGGCCATCTACTCAAGTATGAGGGCCCCCCAAAGGTAAGTAGCCTTGCTGCGCTCCGCCTCGGCGATCTGCTTCTCCTTAGTAGCGGTAGAAATATAGGCAAGGAAGGTGTTGAGCGGCATGTATGAAGCCACTTGAGCAATTGCGTAGCATACCAAATACCTACGCATCAGTGGCTTGGCTCTGAGTGAGTAACTACGTGCTTGCTTCTCTGCCTCTTGTGGACTCATACGAGTTCACCATTGTTGATCATGACATTGGTGCTGCTTGCATCATGACGGTATTCCATGCCACGAGGTATAAACTGGGAAGCTCATAAGAGGTGGTGATTTACTTTCAAGCGACGAGCAAGGATTTACATGGACTCTGCCTGATTCCAACGCCAGTTCGTCATGTCCTCCTCCTATAACGTCAAATCTACCATCTTAGAGCCAATCTTGGTGACATCCGCCTCCGAATCGGGGGTTGCCCGGGCACTGCCACCTCGCTTTGCCCACCGTTCTGCAATGATCTTCATCACCTCCTTCTGCTGGCTACCAGGGTGCTCCTTCTTCACCACCTTCATCTGCTCCTTGAAGAACTGCTGATACTCGGAAGGCTTCCCGGCGGCTCTAGGTGTTGGTTTCGTCTGCTTCAACTGCGCCTTGCAGGAGCCACACCGATGGCGCTCAGGGTTGATACTCTTGGAGTGGCGCTTGTACTCAAGTCCGCATTCGGTGCATTCCCACACGTACTTGAAATCAATTTCGTACGAGTGCTTCGTCGTCACCTCGATGCCTCGATCCCCGAACCGCTGCGAACATTTGGCCGCCCAGATCTTGAATTCTTTGCCGTGCGGGTTACCAGTGATGCCGCTGACCATGAAGTTGGCCAGGTGGCAAAACTCGTGTGCGACGACGTTGAGGAGACGATTTTCATCATCGATTACCTTCTCCGCAAGCTCGATGGAAGCATGATGCTTGTGCGTGATCGATTTCTCAGACCCGTCGGCGTTCTTGGTGCGGACGGTTTCGCGTCTCCAGTTCGCTCTTCCCGCTGTGGTGTTGAGCTTGGCCGACCACTGGATCTTGACTCCTCCTGTAGACTCGGCTAGAGACTGCAGTTTGCCCTGAGTGATGATCTCGTCAAGTTCCTGGAGGAAGGCCTGGGCGACGTCGTGTTTCCTCTGCTCGAACGCCCTCTTGCTTTCTTTTCGGTTGGCCGTAGTTGTCTTCTGTTCTTTTGCCTTTTTAGGACTTTTCGCCGGACTTCTTTGGGCCGGGGGCAAGATTAGTTTTTTGGGCGAGTGCTCCTCATTCCACTCATCCACAAACTCCTGACTCCAGAACATATCCATACCAGGCCCATGGGGTGTCTTTGGAATACCTGGGAGCTTCTTGGGGGATACCAGCGATTTGGTAGATGGCCTCGGTGGTGTCAATGGCGGAGTTTTTGGTGGAGCATCATCCTTTCTAGACTTGCTTTGCTTCCTTGGTGGCTCGGCTGTGCTGCATTGTCGTGTTAGCAAGATGATAATACCACTTACGAGGTGGCTCTTACATGTCTAGCCGGCGAAGAGCATCCGCCATATCGTCAGTGAGATCAACGACCGCCAACTGTGGCCGTGTCGTTTTCCTCTCGGGCACACCCTCAGTGCTTCGTTCCTTCGTTTTGGCGCTTTTTCGAGGTCTGCTAGGCCTAGGGCCTGGAAAGTCGATTTCTGATGCCGGTTTTGTGACTGACTGACGCTCCTGCTGTCTCGGCGCGGTTGTCTCCTCACTGCGACCCGATACTGTGCCTCGAGCCCTCGAGGCCGTAGAATCGTGCCCAAAGAGTGTCGGAGTCCCATCGTCCTCGAACTCTGATCCAGAATCACCAAAGAATTCAGAAATGTCGGCCTCGGTAATTTCAGTCTGCTCGTTTGTGCTACCGTCTGATTCATCCTCTGACGTTGATGATGGATTCCCCGTCGGCGTCGCGTCCCGGCTTCTGACGCGCAACTCTCTCACGCCCACATGGGGCACCTCCTTGGACTTGATAGGAACATCGAATAGATTTTGTCCCTCATTTCTCGAAAAAGTTCCGAAGGGCCTCAATAAGGGGTTGTCTGCCTTTACACCAAGCTTCCGACGTCGCACGGTCGGCGGCGCAGCCCTGACCGTCGATTTCCCGGCATCGGAGTGCTTCGATCTTGATGCATTCCACTGAAGAGCTTCTTCTTCGAGCTGTCTCGAGGGTGAAGCATCGTCGTCGCTATCGATGCTAGTAGTCGTTGTCTGGACAGGTGCTTTGGTAGGCAGGCGGAATTGTTTACTCCGTTGTAGGACGGCATTTAGGTCGGGGAATTCGTCCTCACTGGACGAGGCAAAGTCGACGTATCCAGTCATGATGTTAAAATGATTGCCGATTGTAGAGCTAAGTCAAATGCTCTCTCTAATTCCAGCACTTTGAGCTTGGGTGTGGCTTGACTTTGCACGAAAGTGTTGCAGAGCCGCCTTGTCAGGTAGATCGGTGCATGTCTCTTCGTTGCGAGGGGCAACCGTGAGCTGAAAGTGGAATGGTCATTCTGGAAGATTGCCCAATCAAGCTGGTGGAGGACCATCAGACACGTGACTTGGGAGCAGTGGCATACAGACACGTGACAACATTGAATGATGAATACGGAGTAAGGCACTGCTCAGATACCTGCTGACTCCTGAGGATAAGTAAAGTAGGAATAGGAATTCTAGTGAGCTATGGCTGGAAATTAACAATCACTGACGATAAAGCCCTGCATTGAATTTTGCATCTTCAACTTTTTCACGTCTACCTACTGAAGAGCTTTAAGCGCAAAGCCTCCCATCAGAGCGTCAACTGTCAGGACTCTGAAGTCTGGAGAAGCGAGGAGCTTTCAGATCACGGTTCGGACCAAGAATGGCGGCCGTTCGAGGCTAGTCCCGGAGTGACAGGCCCCAGGCACCCCTGCAAAGCTGAAGCTTGATGCATTCGAGAATCCCACTGCACAGCCCTGGACGGAACAACAGAAGACGTTACAGAATTGTCTGTCAGGACCATTACCAAAAAGGAGAGAGACCTTGACCACACCGACCTTTGCTAGGCAGTGTCACGAGAGAGATGCGTCTCACAGGTCGGTGGCCATAAGATCTACGGTCTACCAAGGACAGTGCAGAGATGCGACCGTCGACGGGATGTCCTATAATGCAGTGGCCGATCAGGGACGGGGGAATGGTGTATCAAAACACCGGACCGCTTCTGAGCAGGCAATCGGCACGCACGGAAATTTGACCCCTCTGCACCCAAAAGATAAAGTATTACTGTGTGGCACGGGAGGGACCCAGCCAAATGGAAGCGCGCATTGTTCATGAAAACAAGATGAGACCCGCACCCGTCGATGGAGAGTCGCCAGAGTCCCGAGACTCCTGTACTCTTGCCGAAAGGCCTACGCATGGTCTTCAGGAGCCTAGATGCACGCCGTCATACGGTCTCCGTAGACAATCAGAGAAAGTACTGTATAAATGGGCAG